GCGGCAAGTCTGTTATGGTGGTAACCAAGTGTCTGGAGTAGATTTGAGGCCTGCATCACAGGAGGAAACTCACATGTAGTACTATAAACCTGGTCAAAAGTGTATGGACTGGAGGGATCGTAGGCCCTTGTAGGGAAGCTGTTTTTCTAAATGGATGTTACATGTCCCCCAAATTGCCTTCTAAATGTTTGTTTATGACTATAGATTAGAGTTGCTGTCAACTTTGGTCACAGAAACTTCTTTTAGCAGTGGGTGGGAGTTACTACAGAGACTCATAACTGGTCAAAGGGCTGAGAGTGACTGTTGAGTGTACAGCCCTAAATGGGACATCTGCATCACCTCTTCCAAGGCTTAGGGAATGTTGTGGAAGAAGGGGCAAAAATAATGTAAGAGCCCAGCAATAGGGTGGAATATTGTGAAATGCTTATCTGAACAAGATCTGCACAAGATTGGGCCAATTAACATCCTGTCATGGAGGGGGAAGGGACATGTGAGGCTCCATCTCTCCCTGAGAATCTCTTGTTTCTTTTCTTTTCTCTCTCTCTCTTTTTCTTTCTTTCTTTCTTTGTCTTTTTGAAACAGGGTCTCCCTGTGGCCCCAGCTGTCCTGGAACTCACTATGTAGACCAGGCTGGCCTCGAACTCAGAGATCCGCCTGCCTCTGCCTCCCAAGTGCTGGGATTAAAGGTATGCACCACCACACCAGGCTGCTTTTTTTTTTTTTTTTTTTTAAATTATGAGGGGAGGCATGCCATGGCCTTCATGTGGAGGTCAGAGGACAACTTTGTGGAGTCACTTTTCCCTTTCCACCTTTATGTGGGTTCCAGAAATTAAACTCAGGTCACCAGGCTTTCAGACAAGTGCCTCTACTTTCTGAAACATCTCTCTGGCCCCTTCTCTGAGGATCTACAGGCAGTTAATGGTTGTTGGGGGAGGAAGAGACATTTTCTTCAGTGGTATAGCATGGTAAGGTGCCCATCATATAAATTACCTCTCACCCATGCTTCTGTAAACAACACTAATGAAACTCATTAGGGGAGAGAGAGAGAGAGAGAGAGAGAGAGAGAGAGAGAGAGAGAGAGACCTGCTCTGTCACTGAACCTGGAGCTAGGCTGGTTGGTGGTCAGCAAGCCCCAATGATCCTCTTGTCTTTGCCCTACACAGCACTGGGGTTACAGGCTCATGCATGCCTCACAGGACTTTTAAAGTGGGTGTTTGGGATTTGAACTCAGATCCTCATGTTTGCATAGCAAGTATTCTTACCTGCTGATCCATCTCCTCCCCTAAAATTATAACAATAGTAAAATTAACAGGTGACTCTCAGTGAAAACAATGGATACCAGAAAGCAATGAAACTACTCCTTGGGCATTGCACAACACAGGTGCACTTACATACATGCAGGCAATATAGTCAAATACATAAAATAAAAATAATAAAATATTTTTTAAAAGGTGGACTGCACCTGAGGAACAACATCTGGTACTGCCCTCTGGCTTACACACACACACACACACACACACACACACACACACACACAGGTACACGCATGCACACAAAAGTACATGCACACACATGAACACACACACAAACAAGTTGCCAATAAATATTTCAAAAAGTGTTCAATGGGATAGAGAGATGGCTCAGCAGTTAAGAGTACCTGCTGCTCTTACAGAGGACCCAGGTTTAATTCCCAGGACCCACATGGCTGTTCACAGCTATCTGTAACTCCATTTCCAGGGGACTCTGACTCCCTCTTCTGGCCTCTGTGGGCATTGCATGAACATGGTGCACTTACAACATACAAAAAAAAAACAAAAAAAACAAAAAAAAAACAAAAAAACAAACCAAACAAACAAAAACAAAACCAAAAACTCACTCATATACATAAAATAAAAATAAAGTCTTTTTAAAGTATTTGACATTCATAATCATCAGGGAAATGCAAATTGAATTTGCTTATGAGATTCTATTTCACTGAAGCCAGAATAATTATCAATAAAACAAATAACAACAAATGCTGGCAAAGATGTAGGGAAAACGAACCCTTATACACTGCTGGGGAGAATGTAAGTTTATGCAACTGCCACTATGTAAATCAATATGAAATTTCCTCAAAAAACCTGAAAATGTAACTTCTATGGGATCCAGCTATACTGCTCCTGGGTATATACCCAAAGGACTTTAATTCAGCAAACCACAGAGATACTTGCACATTCATGTTTATTATTGTACTATTCACAATAGCTAAGACATGGAGCCAACCTTGATGTCAATCAACGGGTGGATAGATAAAGAAAATGTGGTACAGGTACACAAAGGACTTTCATTCAGAAAAGAAAAAATGAAATCATGATATTTGCAGGACAATGGATGAAACTGGAAAGAATTATGCTAAACAAGATAAGACATTCAGAAACACAAATAATGCATGTATTTTCCCAGGTGTGGAATCTAGATTGTGTCTGTAAGTCATGAAAATAGAAAGGGGACCATAAGTCAAGAAGAAAGGTTCTTATGGGATGGGGTGGAGGGAAGAGAAGTTGATGGAATATTTGTGACATGAAAGCGGACAGGAATCTATCTAGAGGGAGGAAGGGAAGCATCAAGAGGGGGCAGTGATGGGGAAGAACATTGGATGGGGATGCATAAGAGCAAAGTATAATGGCATCTAGGTATGAAGACGTCGTAATGAAACTCATTATTTTGTATGATATTGATATGGAAAAATTCTTCAAACAGCTAGGAAATCAAGTATTCACCCTGGAGAAAGTTTTTTTCATGCATGAGGGCCTAGAATTAACAAAAAAGGGCTTCAAGACTTTCTGGACCTCAAACAGAAGTACAGTTGGGGGTTAAATTGACCTTTTTACATCATTATTTTATGGCTGGTACCTGAAACTTACAGCTCTTCTTTGGTGTGCCATGTTATCTCAGGAAAATTCCTTCCTGAGTTCACCTGGTCATTATAGTTTACAAAGCAGATATCACAGGCATGGGCCAGGACATCGGCTGCCTTTTGATCTATACCTAGGCTTGACTAATTGGGCTAGGAATTCATCAAATGGTCATTGGAATTTAAAAAAACTGATATCACTGGCATAACTTCAGATATTGGACACATTTGATCTATATTTTTCTCGGACTAATTAAATCGGGTGCCTCATTAAACCATTTGGTGACTTTTCCATTCTCTTAGTTTCTCATTTGTATTGGTGAGTGGAAAGCATCATAGAGCTTCAAGATATTACAGAGTAATAAAACATTACTGAGTAGTAAAACATTACAGGGTTGTCATCTACCCAGTAAGTAGAACAAGAGGAGACGTCAAATGGCCTAAGTTTACAAGGACATTCTGTGAGTACAGTGAGTTGTAAGGATATAACTTATCCTTAGCAAAATTTTATAAAACGGGGACATTGCTTCCATTGCTAGTGCTCTTTTTCTTTTTCTGCTACTTAGGGTATGGGCAAGGACATTTAGCAACAAGAAAATGTTCAGTTTTGTCTAAGGTCAGGTAGACCTGGCAGGTCTGAGATATCATATACTCCGGGTAGACACAACTGTATCATTCTTTCCTTTTTTTTTAAACAAACTCAGGTCTGGAGAATACATGGTCGAGAGCATGTACTACTCTTGCAAAGGACCAAAATTCAGTTCCCAGCACCCACATGGGGCAGCTCATGACAGCCTATAGTTCCAGCTTCAGAGGATCCAATGATCTCTTCTGGCCCCTTTGGGCACTGCACTCAGGTGCACAAACCCATACACAGACACACACATAAACATAATTAAAAATAAAATCTAAAAATATTAAAAACCAAACTCATTGTTCCTATTTTATGTTATTTACTATTATTGTGTGATGTGTGTGTGCCTGAGTGCAATGGCATATGTGGTGGTCAGAGGACAAATTTCCGGAGTTGATGCTCTCTTTCCAACAATGGGATTCAGGGACTGAACTCTGGTTCTCATATTTGCAGAAGAAGCCCTTTGACCTGCTGAGCCCCGACAATTTTTAAATTTCAATTTGTTTTTGGTTGGTTGGTTATTTTTTTGAGATTTACTATGTAGACCAGGCTGGCCTTGAATTCACAGAAATTTGCCTGCCTCTGCCTTCCAAGTGCTAGAGTTAAAGGCATGCGCCACTATGCCTGGAAATTTTAATTTTTTAAAGACAGAGTCTTTAAAAAATCCTCCTGTCTCAGCTTTCTGAGTACTGGAATCACAGGTTGAACCCCCACCCCCAGTTCAGTTTTTTTTTTTTTTTTTTTGTCTTTTTTTTTTTTTTTTTTTTTTTTTTTTTAGACAGTGTTTTCCTTTAGCTCCCGGCGGCCTGGG